CAGCTGTTTCGCTTGGACGATCGGGGTTCGAGCCCCGGCCAATCCTCAGTTTTTATTAGCGGGGGGAGTATATGAATCAGATTACTCCGTTACTGAATAAAGTTGAATTTTTTTCCTGCAGTTTGGTTGGTGCAGATTGTGAAGTTTACAACAGTTTACTACAGTCTAGCAACTATTTTAAATGTGTTGGCCTAATTACTAAGTATGTTTTAGAAAAAATGTAAACGTCAACAAAATCAAAAGTGTCATAGCCTGTACTTGAACCCGGGTCCTCTCACACCAGAGTCCACCGCCTTATCATTGAGCTATAAAGCCACAGAGAGTTGTCTGGTGACAGAGAAGAGAGAACGATGAAAAGCCAATTTTCCTAACCCTGCTCACAAGTGCCACCTGGTGGTTGTTTGGGTCATTGCAGCATCACTGGGGAAAAAATAAATAAAAGACGCGTGAATCACACGTGAGTCTCGTGTGATTCACGCGTGAAAGGCGACAAAACGAAGTGGGACCTACTGTACGCTTGTCCAACGCTCATCATCTCCATAGGGGCTCCAAATGGTCTTCTCTCCAGGTTCAGCATGAGAGCCTATCGCCTGCTGAATTTACTCAAACGATCTTTTAACTTTTCGGGACTAGAACAATTATTTTTTGAAAAAAGAAATCAAATTAATTTCACATTCTTCATGTTGATCTTCCATGAGCTTGAATGAAAAACATTTGATTCATCTTATCTTTCCAAATACAGTGAAGTTTCTGAACCTAAGAGTAAAAGAATCACACACACCCACAAACAAACACACACAAAAACACATTCGTTACAATTATTAGTATGTTTCTGTGGTTACCAGTGTTATGAGCAGTGTATTACAAAGGTCATGTCATTACTGTACTGTTAAGGCAGTACAAAAAACCGCTACAAAGGTCAGTCGCGTGCGTTACTGTTTTCTGGGGGATAGTAATATTTGTGTACGTTTATTTAAAGGATTATTGATGAACATGCGCAGTGACGCCTGTGGCTTTCTATGTACTGGGGTAGCACCAAGCCCCGGCGATCCAAGATGGCGCCCTATATATATATATATATATATGTAATCCTATATGTAATACCCTATCCAGTTAATATAATACATCCATGGGTAGCACACAAGCATACAGTGCACTTAGCTCTACTGTGAACAATCACAGATGTGCGGCTGTTGGACGTTCTAATAGACGAATGTGCGGGAGGGCAGCGGAGAGTAGAATGCTGTATGTGTGAGACAAGACACATATTGGCTCTTGTTATAGTCCGCGGTGACACATGTTTGTGGCAGACGCGCTTGACACTTGGCATGCTGGGAAATGTAGTATTCGCGGAAGTTTCTGGCTGCGATAGTGTTTTTTTCTGTAGAAAATGTTAAATTTGAACTTAAGTAAGAGATGAAAAACAATAATAACATGGTATACATGAATGTAAGTTTTTGAAGTGACTTATGCCTATGGTACGCACGTGTAATGGCCTTTCTAATGCTGTAGTTCACACCAACACCCCCCACTCAGTGTCCATTAGTCTACAATTACTACAACCATTATCCATGAATATAATGAATCCATTAATAAATGAACACATTGCCTGTGTTGTAGCTGCGTGTGTCAGGTTACAAACACATTAAATCATATACATTAGGAGGTTTATTAACAGGTAATGTCAACTAAGGCCTATACGTGACATCTAGTCACTCTTATAAGTGAAACATATGTTTAGGCAGGTGTACTTACCTCTCTTTCACATTCATACTGTTGAATATACAGTAAAGTGTTTTCTAAAATGTAGGCCTGCATTAATTGTTAGTTGTGTGTCGCTCTGTCTCCAACACCACTGTCTCCAAATCGCTCTGAATGTTCACGGTCCGACTCTTTATAACCTAACCCGTGCCTGATTGGCTAGAAAAGCTATCAATCACTAATGGATAATATGACTATACGGATTACACACGCAAATAACTGATATTTATTTAATCAATATCAATAAATGATGTATTTTTAATGAATTTGCTGATGAGAGTAGACAGTTTTTCTCATGGATTCTGGTCTTTATGAACTCATCATGACCTTTTTCAGCTCAGGGACGTATTCTTCCATTGTTTTCTTCCAAAAACAACTCACAGAACCTGTATAAAAAAAGAAACGTGTCGCCATGCTGTCTCTCACTATGTTTTTATTATAGATCATGTTATTGAACCATACCCGTTCCAGTTCTCACCCTGGAACGTGTTGGCGGGGGTTGGCGAGGGCCCTGACACCCCTAAAAACCCCATGATGCATTATTATGAGAATGAAGCTGTCGGGCAAAGCCACAGTAAAAGAAAACAACGTACATGAAACAACATCACGTTTGTGGTGAACGTGAGGAAGCTTGGAGGCATTAGTTTCTTAAAGAGCGACTAAACACCAAATAAATTTTTTTTAACTCATAAACTGCATAAATATGTTTATTGTAGTGCTGTCTACATATCCTGCTCATTTTTTTGACATTTTAGTTTAAATTAGATAAAATATCACTTTTGAGCCAAAAAACGTCTGTGTGGCGCCCTCTCCACCTTTTTGGTGGTACTACATTTGAATTTGGTCCTGGCCTCTCCATTGACTCTGAAGTTCTCTATGACATCAGTTGTTTTGTGTGACGTCAGTCTGTCAGAGCCAGTGATGTGAACCCATCCAACTCTCACACACGCCCCAGCAGCAGTTTGGAGTATTCTGGCGCCATCTAGTGGATTAAAATTTAATTACATGAGTCATTCTGAGATTATTGAGTGTGATTAGGTTCAGGTGTGTAGCTTTACAATTATCTTAGTGTGTAAACAAGGGTGGAATGAGACTTTCTGGTCTGTAAACTATTGTTTTAAGCAGCAATGACAACTGTCTGGTTTTTTGTGTGACAAGTGAGCTGTCAATCACAGCCCAGACCACGCCCAACTCTAAGCCCCCCTTCTTGTCCCTTGGTCCTCGGGCAACGCCCTTTTTAGAGAACATTTTCAAATCTTCATGTGGGCGGAGTCAGGCTGGGCACAGGTGTTTAGTCGCTCTTTAAGCCTGTGTTGCTGTTGTGGCCGTTTGTTCGCTCATGAATCAGCCGCAGCGTGTCGCGTTTACTGCACGTCATTATTATAGATCCAGGATTCAGTTCCTTGTGCGTGTATGATATGGAGCTATATTTGATCTAATTATAATATTATTCATGTCATTCTAAGTCAAATTAAAAACGTCTCACTTTAAGTAATACTTGGTTTCATAAGATCTGACACAGATATGACTTTATCTGTGGTGAAATCAGACAAATCAACAATGCGTGTGACGAGGAACACGTTTGTTGAGTCGATTTGCATATTGTCTCCTAGATCCAATTTTAGGGAGGTTATCCTACGAGTGTACTCCCTAAGGGAAGTACACTCC